AATATCCAGATATTTCACGAGGACATATCCGGATATCCATATCTGGATATCACAAGGTCAATATTCAGATATCCATATTCGGATATCATATCCGGTTATTTCGTGACAGAATGCAGTTTTGCATCTTCGCGAAGATATCCTTCCAAGACTCCATTTTTAACACTTCCAGACGTTCAACCATGCATTTTTAGGTGTGTTATACCATATTTACACTTAAGTTATCATCTTTCCCTTATTACATGCATCAAGGTTCATTCTTTCAGTAAAAACTCAAGAATAAAGGTAGTGGTGCATACCCAATGGCTCAAAACAGAGTGAAGACAGTGACTTGAAGCTTCCTATACAAGGTGGAAGAGGAAGAATCAAGACTAAAAATGGTGTCTTGGTATTTTTTTCTTGCAAGGAGAGATATGGGATGGTGTGGGAGAAGGTGGCAGCCAAGAACACATGAAGAACCTACGTAGAAAATCAGAAAACTGACCTAGGTTTATGTGCAATGGCTATTTATATAAGTATGCCCACTAATCCACAATATTAGTTCTAATAGCTTCGCTAATCATTTTTTCACAAAACTTAAGATTCTGAACCTAGCTACTTTTCTAGGAATTATCATATTTTTATTATATTTTTCGCAGCACTTTGCCGGTACGCGTTTTATATGTAGCTGATATTAGTTCTGATATCAACGCTCATTATTCTTACTCCAACCTTGATATCCTTGACCTAGATATTTTTCCAGAAAAATTTATATTTTATTATTATTTTTTGGGATACTTCACCGGTACACATTTATACCATGAAGCAGAACCAATATCTGCACTTTTCGTCTGAAAAGTGACTTTAAGCATTATTTGACCTTCCAAATAATTATCTTATCATAATTAGTCATAACCTTTATCAAATCCATGCTCCAGCATTGATAGTCTTATTTAATTAATTATTTAGCGGTGCGTGTTCTAACAGATACAAAGAATGTAAATAGAAATTACGAAGGACCCAACCAAAACTAACCTTGATAGTCAATGAGTTATGTGACATATATAGGAATTTAATTTTGTGAGATTGGTGAAATGGGACTCAGAAACAACACCTTCAAAATAATTATCCTAGAGTTTAAGGTCTATACAAATTAATATAACAAAATTAACACATGGAATTTATCCTAGGGTTTCATATACTAATCTTTATTAAAAATGTAAAAATAATAAAAATATAAAGAACTAATCTTGTGAGAGATTTGAGAAATCCTTGAAAGAAGAGAAATGAATTTCTAGAGTGAGAGAGAGAAAGAAAGTTGAAATAGAGTGGAGATGGGGGTGTAAGGGAGTTGGGGGGATGGGGAGGGCTTCAAATAGCCACCAAACGGCTATTTTTGTTTTTTTAACCGTTGGACTATACTCGCTATATCCCACATCGAGTATGTCCTCGTCTAACACGTGTCTAATGGCTATTTTTTTTCGTTGGGACTATTCTCACCATGATCCGCAGCAAGTTTGTGGCTAATTGCCAGGTGTCCCTCTTTTCGCAAAGCAAATTGACACTTTGACCACCTAACTCGCTATAGCTTGCAGTGAGTTAGATGGCCTGAAAAAATGCGACACGTGGCCACACCAAAGTCGATTTGTGTTGTAGCGAGTTGGATGCATGGCAGTTTGGAAAATTGTTTTTTTCGCGTGGCATTTATGGAAATAATTTTTAAAGATGTGGCACTACGGTCACTATCCATAAGGGATAACGAATCAGAAAATTTATGGGTCGGGTGGGGTATCAATTGAAAGAATTTGATAAAACTTTTGGTGTTGCTTGGTTTGTATAGCCGTGACTTTATATCTGTTGTTAAATTAAAAATTTTGATGACAACAGATTATTCTTATTTCAAAGTCAAAGTATAATAACCCAAACTAGCTCAAGAGTGCCACATTTAAGAATAATTATTTATAATAAGTTACTTAGTAGGAGTGCACTTCTGGTCCTCTCAGGAATATTAGGATTCCAGTTTTTGATCCGCTGAACATATGATAAGGCTGATATCTTCCGAGATTCTTTCCTTATTTTTTTTCTTAGTTGCTTGTCCTTGTGGGTCTTCTAGAACGTAGGATCTTGAGTTGGGCCCATAACATATTATGAAACCCCTAAATGCTTGCGTAAAAATATAAATTGGGAAAAGTTCAAAAACACCCATGTGGTATTGCTTTGAATCACTTTCACACCTGTGCCTTTTTTTATCACCTTTCCCCTTGTGAATTTTTTCATCCACACCCCTCCTTAATACTGGTAGAAAATTAACTAAGCATACATATTCTTTTTTTTTTTGGTATCCTAACTAAGTATACATATTCTACCATTCTTAGAAGAAGAAAATAAATTGATAAAGACAAAAGAAAATAAGACCAGATGTTATGAAAACTTGTAACACTTACTAAAAGACTAAACTAAAGAAATAGCAAAAAAATCAAATATGTTATGTGTCTAAATAAAAATAAATAAGTGTATAAATAAATAGAATAAGAACAAAAAAATAGAAGAAAAAATAAGATCAAATATATTTAAAATCACATCAGGGACAGAAAAGACAAAAATTAAAAAAAAATAGTCTAAATGAAAAAAAAAATTAAGACAAAAAAGTAGAAGAAAAAATTGAGATAAAAAAAAAAAAAGAAATCACAGTTATGAATTTCTAATATATTTTCTTTTTTTCTATTTGTTTTTCCTTGGTCTATTTATTCTTTTTGTTTAGATATGTTTTGTTTTTTTATATCTCTATTCTATTCTCTATTTTTTTTATGAAAATATTTAGAAGATGGAGTGCCATAAGGCTAAAAAAAATTGAGGAAAAAATCATAATAAAATAGACCAAAAAGTGAAAAAAAAAATGGAAAAAAGATCAAACATATCTAAATAAAAAAGAATAAAATAGACCAAGGATAAAAATTTAAAAGAAAAAATAAAACTAAATATATTGGAAACTCATAAGTGATTTCTTTTTATTCTATTTCTTTTTTATTTCATTTTTTATCTTAATTTTTCTTCAGTATATATATTTGTCATTTAGATTATTTTCCTTTTTGTTTTTTAAATTTTAGTCTTTGCTGTCGCTATTGTGATTTTTAATATATTTAGTCTTATTTTTTTATAATTTATTTGTTATTATTCTATTTTTTATACATTTATGTATTTTTATTTAGACACATAACATATTTGATTTTTTTTTTTTTGCTATTTTTTAATTTGTGTCTTATTAAGTGTTATAAGTTGTCATAATATCTGGTCTTATTTTTCTTTTTCTTTATCAATTTATTTTCTTCTTTTAAGAAGGGTATAATAGGTATAGTTATTTAATTTTCTAATAGTGTTAAGGAGGAGTGTGGATGGAAAAAATCACAGAGGATTAAGTGATTAAAAAAAGCACAGACGTGTAAGTGATTAAAAGCAATACCACAAGTTTTTCTTTTGAACTTTTCCCATATAAATTTATTACCAAAAGTATTGCATAAAAAGAAAAGGTTTGCAAAAATTTATTTGGAAAAATTTAACGAAAGAATACTTAATGGAGTAAGAAATACATATGTAGATGATGTATCTTACAATAAAGTGGAAATTTGTATTAATTGTCTAGAGGAGGAGGGGTAGACTTGTTTTTCATATGTTCCATATTATCCTTTTTAGTCATTGTTTCCAATATTAATTAATTAATTTATTTCTCTAATTTTTTATTTTATTTTATTATTTTATTTACTATTAATATTATTTTTCCTATGACTTTCAAGAATATCAAATTTTGGGATGAAAATAATAAGTAGTGATGTCAAAACTAATAGCGGCTATTTCGTAGTAGAAAATGCGTACCAACAAAGTGTCTCAAAAAATTAATGTAAAAATATGATAATTACTAGGAAAATATCTAGGTAAAGAATATAAAGTTTGGTAGAAAAATAATTAGTAGATCTATTAGAACTAATACCGATGATTTAAGTGAGTACATCCATAAATAGAGAAGGGCACTAAACCCTAGGTCATTTTTCCAACTCCCACATAGGTGCTCTTCCATTTTTACATGATGCCATATGATCACAACCTCAACACCATATCCTTTTTGCCAAGAAAGTCTCAAGATATCAATTTTCTTCCTCTTTGAGTTAACCAATCTTTGCTACAACTTGAAAGCTTTCACCTTGGAGTAGAAAATTCCTTCTTAAAGTGTTGTGGCTGCTGTGTTTGGTGGTTTAGGGGGCTGTTCTTCTTTGTGTGTGGGTAGGGGTCATTTATACTCATTTGGGAGCATTAAAGAAGCAACCTTGTGAAAAAAGAACCAAATGGTGATTGTGTTGAAGTCTTTTTAGTTTCTTGTGTCAGTTACAATATTGAAGAGTTAATTGTCTTTTGGTTTTTCTTATGTGAGTTATGAAGTTAAATTGTTATATTTATTAGGGATATAATGACTGACGTTATAACATTATGAGTAGTTAATTAGTGGTGTTATGAGGGTGTTATGAGACTCTTGATTAGCTTTGTAATGAGTCTCTTCATTGGTACTTTCAGTTTTGATGTTGCCTATTAATAGGCTTGATGTGTTGAAGAAATTAAGTATTCCCTCTTTCAATATTTTTTACGTGTCTCCATATTCTATCAGTGGTATCAAGAGCCAGGTTGAGAGTTAAACACGTGAGGGAATAAAGGTGTGAGAAAAAAAGTGAAGAGTCAAGGCCACATATTCTAATTTTGTGCAAGAAGCCATTTCACGTTTCGATGGTTATTATGACCATTGGAGCATGCTAATGCAGATCTTCCTTCGATCCAAGGAATATTGGGATGTCGTTACCAATGGTGTTGTTGAACCAGCACTAGCAGAAGGAACTCAGTTGACAACAGCTCAACGAGCAGCTCATGAAGCGGTAAAGTTGAAGGATTTGAAGGCGAAGAATTATCTCTCCCAGGCCATTGACCGTTCTATCTTGGAAACCATTCTTTCCAAAGAAACTTTCAAGGATATTTAGGACTCCATGAAAAAGAAGTATCAAGGCTCTGCAAGAGAAAAGAGGCAGCAGCTTCAAGCTTTACGCTCGGAATTCGAAACACTTCGAATCAAGTCGAGAGAATCAATTGCAGATTATTTCTCTCGCGTGATGACCATTGTCAATAAAATGCGAATTCATGGAGATAGGACAGAAGAAATAATTGTCATAGAAAAAATTCTTCGATCATTAACAGCAAAATTTAACTTTGTTGTTTGTGCTATAGAAGAATCTAAAGATATAGATGATTTGTCACTTGCTGAATTGCAGAGCTCATTGGTGGTGCATGAATAGAAGTTCAAACAGGAAGACACAGATGAGCAAGCATTAAAGGATTCTACCGATACTCGTTCCAACAATTTTCAAGGAAGGGGTAGAGGCAGAGGCAGAGGCAGGTCCAATAATGATCAATTTCAAGGCAGAGGCAGAGGAGGAGCCCCTGATAAATCCAAGGTAGAATGTTTCAGGTGTCATAAATTTGGTCATTATCAATCTAAATGTTATACTAGGCTGCCAAATAGCAAAGAAAAAGGAGAAAGTTCAAACTTTGCAGAAAAGGAGGAAGGTGAAACCTTATTGATGGTTGCTAAAGATGAAAAGAAAATTGAGCCAGATGTTTGGTATGTGGATACTGGCTGCAGCAACCACATGAGTGGTAGTAAGTCTTCTTTCTCTCATCTGAATGAAAATTTTCAATCTACTGTAAGTTTTGGTGATCATTCTACTGTGAAAGTAATGGGAAAATGTGACATTAAAATAAAAACCAAGAATGGTTTTATGGAAACAATATCTAATGTATTGTATTTTCTTGATTTGAAAAGTAATTTATTGAGTGCTGGCCAATTACAAGAAAAGGGTTATGTGATCACTATTAAAAATGGTGTTTGTGAAATATATGATTCTGTTAGAGGTGCTATTGCTGTTATTCAGATGAGTTGAAACAGATTGTTTCCATTAAAGATTGAAGGAATCCAATCTAGTTTAATGGCTGAAATGAAAGATCCTTCATGGTTGTGGCATTTTCGCTATGGCCATTTGAGCTTCGGTGGGTTGAAGACGCTCAAACAGAAAAATATGGTGACAGGTCTCCCTCAAATCACAATTCCTCATTCCTTAGTATGTGAAAAATGTATTATTAGCAAACAACATCGTTCTGAATTTGCAAAAGGGAACTCATGGAGAGCAAAGGAAATTTTGCAATTGGTGCATTTAGACATTTGTGGTCCAATAAATCCAATTTCTAATGGAGGTAAAAAATGTTTAATCACCTTCATTGATGATTTTTCTAGAAAAATGTGGGTATATTTTTTACAGGAAAAGTCAGAAGCTTTCTCTACATTTAAAAATTTCAAAGCTCGTGTGGAGAATGAGACAGGAAGGATGATTCAGACACTTCACACAGATCGTGGTGGTGAATATTGCTCAAAAGAATTTGAAGCTTTTTGTGAAGAACATGGCATCCGAAAAGAGCTTACAACTGCGTATACACCACAACAAAATGGTGTATCAGAAAGGAAGAATAGAACCATCCTCAACATGGTTAGAAGCTTGTTGGCAAGAGGAAGAGTTCCAAAGACATTTTGGCCAGAAGTAGTAAACTGGTGCATTCATGTCTTGAACAGAAGTCCAACCTTTGCAGTTCAAAATATGACGCGAGAAGAGGCTTGGAGTGGGAGAAAACCAAATGTGGATCACTTTAGAATTTTTGGATGCATTGCATATGCTCATGTCCCGGATCAGAAAAGAAAAAAACTTGATGACAAGGCTGAAAAATGTGTCTTTCTAGGTGTAAGTGATACATCTAAAGAATATAAATTGTTTAATCCGCTGACAAAAAAAATTGTGGTTAGCAGGGATGTTGTTTTTGATGAAGAAAACACTTGGGATTGGCATATGCAGCAGCTACCCAAGTTCTTCGTGATATTGATTCTGAACAAGAGCAAATTTCAGCATCTAGTATGCCTGAAAATTCATCCATTGCAACTTCTTCAGCTAGTCAATCCTCACCAACAGTAGTTGGAGTCAATGAAGAAGGAACTCAATCTCTTCATCGTGTTAGAAGAAGGCCTGCTTGGATTGAAGATTATGAGGTAACTGGAATTGAAGATCCAATTACTCACCTTGCCTTGTTTTTAGAATGTGATCCTGTGACTTTTGAGAGTGCTGTCAAAGAAGAAAAATGGCGAAAAGCAATGGATGCTGAAATTGATGCAATTGAGAGGAATGATACTTGGGAGTTAACTGATCTTCCAAATAGACACAAAACCATTAGTGTGAAGTGGGTGTTCAAAACAAAGTTAAAGGAAAATGGTGAAATTGACAAGAACAAAGCACGCTTGGTTGTCAAGGGGTACAAGCAACAATATGGGATTGATTATACAGAAGTTTTTTCTCCTGTTGCGAGACATGATACAATGAGGTTGGTGGTTGCATTGGCTGCACAAAATTCTTGGCCTATTTACCAGCTAGATGTCAAATCAGCATTCTTGCATGGGTACTTGGAGGAACAAATATTTATTGAACAACCCCTTGGTTTTGAGAAGGTTGGAAATGAGCATAAAGTTTACAAATTGAAAAAGGCACTTTATGGACTAAAACAAGCCCCTCGAGCTTGGTATAGTCGCATTGAGTCTTATTTTCTTAAGGCTGGTTTTATAAAGTGTCCTTATGAACATACACTTTATTTTAAGATTGGTGATGAAGGAAAAATGCTTATTGTTTGCTTATATGTAGATGATCTCATATTCACTGGAAATTCTGATGTTATGTTTGAAGAATTTAAAAAGTCTATGATGAATGAGTTTGAAATGACTGATCTTGGTATGATGCATTACTTTCTTGGAATAAGTGTAGCACAATCAAGTGATGGAATTTTTATTTCTCAAAATAAATATGTGGAAGATATTCTAGACAGGTTTCAGATGAAGGATTGTAATCCTGTGCACACTCCAGTTGAATGTGGCTTGAAACTACACAAAGAGCATGGAGGAAAGAAGGTTGACAACACCTTCTACAAACAAATTGTGGGAAGTTTGATGTATCTCACTGCAACAAGGCCAGACATAATGTATTCTGTGAGTTTAATTAGCAGGTATATGGAGAATCCTTCAGAAATGCATTTGTTGGCTGCCAAGAGAATCCTTCGCTACTTGCAAGGAACAAGAAATTTCGGGATATTTTACAAGAAGGGTGTAAAATCTAATTTAATGGGATTTACTGACAGTGATTATGCAGGAGATCAAGAAGACAGGAAGAGCACATTCAGGTTATGATTTTATGATTGGTACAAGTGTTGTTTCTTGGGCATCGAAGAAGCAACCAATTGTCACTTTGTCAAGCACAGAAGCTGAATTTGTTGCTGCTACAGCTTGTGCATGCCAAGCCATTTGGCTAAGGAGAATTCTTGAGGAGCTTCAATTCAAGCAACTCAAAGCTACTCAAATTATGTGTGATAATAATTCAGCAATTAAATTATCCAAGAATCCCGTGCTACATGGAAGAAGCAAGCACATTGATGTGAAGTTTTATTTTTTAAGAGATCTTTATAATGATGGAGCTATTGATTTAATCTACTGCAGGAGTGAAGATCAGATTGTTGATATATTCACTAAAGCTCTCAAGATGGAGTCATTTGTGAAGTTAAGAAGATTATTAGGTGTCTGTATACTTTAAAGTGACTGTTAGCAAACATTAGTTAAAGGGACGGAATGCTGGAGTCTTTTTAGTTTCTTGTGTCAGTTACAATATTGAAGAGTTAATTGTCTTTTGGTTTTTCTTATGTGAGTTATGAAGTTAAATTGTTATGTTTATTAGGGATATAATGGCTGACGTTATGACATTATGAGTAGTTAATTAGTGGTGTTATGAGGGTGTTATGAGACTCTTGATTAGCTTTGTAATGAGTCTCTTTATTGGTACTTTCAGTTTTTATGTTGCCTATTAAAAGGCTTGATGTGTTGAAGAAATTAAGTATTCCCTTTTTCAATATTTTTTACGTGTCTCAATATTCTATCATATTGTAAATTTCGTGTGTCATCTTGGCAGTAGCTTAGGATCATACCAAAGACTTCAAATCCCATTCCTTTCTCTGTTTTTAAGAGCCTCAAGGTAACCCCTCACCCTTTTCTTTGCATTTTTATTAAAACTGCTTGTTTTGAGTCATTAAAAAGAGGAACTTTGATGATTTGTGTTGGGGTTGTTAATCTAACGGTAATAAAGTTAATTGAACTTCTATAAGTGAGTGTATCAAAGTTAGAACCTTTAGGATGCCATTGAAGCACCTCCAAAATAGAAAAAAATGCAGATTTTCTGCATTCTGTCACGGAGGAATCGATTCCCGATTGGGAAAAAATGACAACAACACACTAATTTAGTAAAATTGTTATATCTCAAGCTACAGAGCTCCAAATTGAGTGAGGTTTAAACCTATATGAAACTAACACATAGAGATACAACCTGTAAAAGTTCAGATCCATTGGACAATTTGATTGATCGAGTTTTGAGTTTGAAGTTGCTGCCTTGTTGTGGGAAATTCTGTTTGTCATAGTTATCTTTAGAAAAACATAACCGAAGTTATACAACTCCGATTGAGACTTAAAATATGTCGTTAAAAATCTTGTAATGTCTAGTTTAACATAGTAAATTCTTAGAAGTTTTGGTAGAGTTTCAATTTTAGTTTTAAAAATGATAAAGACGGTTTGTGCTTGGAGGCTTAAGGAGAAGCCTGCAATCACTAAACGAAAAAAAACGTAGTCCAAATGTCATGAAATTTGAGAATTTGATTATTAATAATATTTTTAACATAAAACAGGCTTTACTTGTTGGAATGTATGTCTATGGATGACCCGATTGTTACTAAGTTGGTTTTAGAGGATTTAGCTTGAAAGCTAATCCTTCGGTCCTCGGTTTAATCCACTGTTTGTTCCACCAAACCCTATGGGGGATTGGTTTATGTGCATGGTATGTTCTTTTTTTTGGAAATTATATCTATTGATGTTATGACTATTGGATATGTTGTTGAGCTAGATTTTATTATAGTGCATTGTTACATGTATATGTAGGCGGGGTAGTGTGCACAACACCTGTGTGGGGTTCCTGAGAATGGTAGACTCCTTGTAAGGGGTAGAACTCCTGTAGTGTGGGTATAAGGTGAACTCCTTATACTTTTGGGTAGGTCGCATACGTGCATAATACCTACTTTGTTCTCTGGCTAGTAGGGTTATTATTGCGCACCCACATGATGTATGTTTGAGGATGCATACACACATGACATGGACATATGCGGCATTGCACAC